ACGCACCTACCAGGAAGAGAGCTAGGCCCTGAGACCCAGGGGGATATCATTATCTGCCACTGTACTGAGGAGCATAAAGTGCGGTGAGGGAAATGATCATAGTACAGCACAGGGCATGATACAAATATATAAGAGAGACTCACTCAATTATTGATCCCACCACTTTCCAGCTGGGGATCTCTGTCAAACATAAGCCTCAACTCCCTCACCTGTAAAATGGGAAGAATACATAAGACTGCCTTGCCTTGCTGGATTGAGAGGATCAGGTAGGCAAGGCACCTAACGCAAGTGCTGCCCAACAGAAAGTAGCTGCTTAATAAATTATAATTATTACTGTAGTTGATATGGTGACAACAAAAAGAATCATTGATCTTCAACACAGAAGATCAACTGTTAAAGACAGAGTCCAGATCTTAAAAAAAAAAAAAAAAAGTAGAAGGTTGTTTTCAAACCCACTTCATGGTAATAAAAACCGGACTGACTTCAAAGTATTTAATTGTAAAGCAACATACAGTCAACACAAACTGCAGGACCGAGGGGGAGCATTCTAGGCTGTAGTTAGGGAGCACTGTCTATAAAGAATGAATTTGGGGAGATGGGTATAAATGCTGACCAAAGAGGGGAAGGAAGTGCTGGAGGGAAGAGAGGACAAGATCCTGCGCAACATCTCTGCCTTGGCGCCTGCCAATCCCTCCCTCCCCCACACTTACAGGAATAAAAATAAAATTAATCCCCTTCTCTCATCCAGGCATTTTCTCTCGGCCACGGGCTGATGGGTCTGTAATCCCTTCTCAATCCCCGTCAGTCACCCTCATCCCAGCTCTGCTCCCGGCAAAACATCTCTCCCAGGAAATGAATCCTCCCAGGTTGAGAGAGGAGGGGAGGAAGGAATCCTGACTAATAAGAAATCTTATCACCAAAGGACAGAATCCCAACAAAGGGGTAGGTTGGTATGTCAAGATTAGGTGATGATCCGAAGCACCTGGCGCGGAGTAGGGGCTCAGTCAGCATGTACAGGTAGAGGGAAAATATAGCTTCCTGCTTCTAAGGGATCAGCACCATCCTGAGCTTCACTGGGGAAGGAGGACAGCACAGCCCACTAGGAAGGGGCCAGACACAAGACAGGACAGAGAGAATAAAAGTAAATCCGCCCTCTAGAGCCCCAGGGAGTTGATTTCATTAGTGTGCCCACTGGTGCTGATCTTGGAGGGTCTAAGGCACTCCACAGATCAGTCTCCCAGGGGATCCAAAGTCCCAGACCTCTTTTCCATACATCACTGGCTTCTCCATTATCTACCTTTGACTTTGGGGGTTTTGTTCTCTTCCAAGAAATACATTTCTTTGTCTTCCCTTTATGGCCACTTACTCTTTAAGACCAGGACTTTGTACAATAATTCTGCTTAATGTCATATACAGCAGGATGCAAAGCACATAGAGGTCAAAAGGCTCTGACCATGGCAGTCAGTGGCTGCCATACACAGGCACCTRTGTGAATGCTTTTTGCATTTTTATATTCTCGATGGTTTATACATGAAGCACTCACCCATGGGAGAGTGGTTGAGAAAATACAGTCTCCTGGTCTTTCTTCCTAAGGGACTCTACATGCATCTGAAGACAGTAGATTACACTTGAAGAAGGACCTGAACTCAAAAGCTTTACTTCTGGAAGTCCCACCTCCTTGCTCATCCCCATCTCAGAGGCCAGCCAGTCAGGTCTTCCAGCGGCTGCTTCTGCCACAAGGATGGTGTATCACAGTGTCTATTTCTTGTGTGTCTCCCCACCTGACCATGAGCTTGCTAAGGGCCAGAAATAGGTGTTAGTTGCCACTCCACTCCAGCACCTACTGCAGGGTCTGGAACACAGTGGTTACTCAGTAAATGTTTGCTGAGTGAAAAGAGGACCAGACAAGAAGGTCCCTAGACTGGGAATTGTCCAGACTCAGCAAGTTCAAAGTTCACCTACAGAGAAATCAGAAAAACCACTAAGAAAGGCTGGATGTGGGCACTGTACCTTCTTGGCAAGCCTCTCCCAGGTCAGAAGCAAGCTCCTGAGGGAGTCCATCAGGAGGGGCAGCACAAGAGACGAGGTACACCAAGGCTTGTGACCATGGCCTTGGGAAGGTCTGCCCTAATTTAGTGTGGGTGTTACTCCCAGGGGGCCTAGTACAGAGAACTCACATTCACTGTGGTCGGTGATTGTCATGGATTATCTCATTTCACCCCCACAATGATGCTAGGGAAAAAGGATAATGGTCCACCTTATAGGTGCCATTCTGAGGGGAAATCCTTATGGTCTCCAAATCCTTGAGACAGACTCACATCACAAACAGTGAAGCTCAGGAGAGGCTCACAATAAAATATCTTATGGGATCATACATTCTCAGGGTTCGTGGAGGCCTAAATCTCCTGGTTCAACTTCTCTCCTTCAAAAAGATACTCAAATTCCTGCAGCATTTAACATCCCTACAAGCTTCTTAGGAAAGAAACCCTGCTGGAGGGTTTGCCACCTCTCCAGTCAGCCTACCCTATCTTTGAACAGTAAAATTGCTCTTACCAATTCCTGACTTCTATCCACCCACCCCACACCTTCCCCTGGTATCTACACAGAGCAAAGCTAATCTCATTCACATGCCAACCTTCCTGCTATCTGAAGGCACTTACCACCTCCCTTCCTGGGGTTTAGAAAGACATTGCACAGGCTACTCTCATTTCATGAAGATTAGCAAACACTTTTGGTTGAGAAAAGGAACCAGAGAAAGACGTTGGCATATCTTGTTGCAGTGAAGGTGATTCTTGGGGCAACAGGTAGAGGAGATGAACTACAGGCCAGAACACACACAAATCCTGACGGTCTTCACAGAGACCATTAATAATGCCAGGAGGGTCTTCTGGGATCAACTAAAGTCCTCCTTTTACAAAGGAAGCATCAAGAAGCAGAAGGGTAAAGTGGCAAAAGCAACACAGCTAATTAATAACATGGTCACAATTAGAAGGCTTTGAACCTGCAACCCAGTCCTCTTAGCACTGTGCTGCCCCGCATTTCTCTACTCCAAAACCTAACAGCAACCACCCTGTGATTTCAGAACAATACTCCCACAATAACAGCACCTTCTACAGTCTCACTTTCACTACACTCCCAACGGGTAAAGGGAAGAAACATATCATTAGCTTCCTTTTATAGAGGGTAAGAGGAAGCACAAAGCACAGAGGCAAAGGGACCTGCTTGGGTTCACTAGCAAATTGCATTTATTCTTGGAACTCAAAGCTCAGTTAAGACTCTTTACTCTGTTGACAATGAGCTATTAAAGGGCCAGGGGGCATCTTCCTCTGGAAATGGATATCCTGAATAAGGAAGGGGGTCACCTCTGTCTGCAGTTCAGTTTGGCACTTTTTTTATGACATACTAAAATCTTCAAAGCCTTCTTTCCTTTCTGCCTCTTCAACCAGCATGCTTCAAAGGAAAGAGTATCCGAAGTCTGGGTTCCTCTCCTGGTTGTGCCCTGACCAGATCTATGACCTGGGGCATCCCTCCTACCCAGGGCCAGCTCCAGCTTCTCCATCTATAAAATAGAGACAATAAATTCTGCCCTGTAAGTAACCAGGATGCCCTGAGGCTCACATGACAAAGAGCAAGTCTGGGGCAGGGGCAAGCTCACACCCACAGCTCCCACAGTATGCAACTGTTCCCCTGTTCTTGCTGCCTGGCCTCCTCTGCAGCCCTACTACCCAATGCATGTGAAAGGGTCATGAAGATCTCATCCAAGCAAAGATGGAAGAGAAAAAAACAAATGCAACACCCTAACACTTCTATTTTCCAAAAGACATTTACACTTATTAGCATAATACTTACCATTTATAAATACTACATGCATGCACCATACAAAGGGTGCTTCTGCATACTCTCTTGCTTTTAGTTTTCACAACTACTCATTTTACAGATAACTTAGGCTTGGACTTTAAGGAATCGCCAGTAAGCAGGGGAGTGGGGGGCAGGAGAAAGCCCCACTTCTAACCCAGTTCAGTGCTTTCCAAACTTTAATGTGCTCATAAATCACCTAGGAAGATTCATAAAGAATCAGATTCTGCAGGTTTAGACAAAGGCCTAATGTGCTGCTTCCAAGTAGATGGACTACACTGTATCAAGGGAAAGATTTGAAATTCCATTAAGGTAGAGCCTGCGTCACTGAGTGTCCAAGGTTTAACACGGGGCCTGTGCTATAGAACGYACTCAATAATTATTGAATGAGTCAGTGAATATCTGACTGCAAAATTCAWGTTTTAATGCTTCTCTATATTGTCCCATTATGATCCTCAAACAAACCTCTAACATTCCCACTTGACACACAAGRAAACAGGCTCAAAAGAGTCACCTGGTTTCAGTTTTTGTGAAGCAACGCCCACAGCGGTTAATCTTAGGATCCTTTACTCTGACCACAGCTGTCCCAAGGAATGGGGGCGGAGGGTGGGAGTGCCCCGGGGGACGTATAGCAGGGAGGTGCGGGTTAAATACAGACCACTGACGGATAGCTGGAACCATCCCAGCATGTGACCGGCCCACAGCTGGAGAGGTCCCCGGAATATCTGAGCTGCTCCCGGGGAAGGAGTCAACATGGGCCGGTGTSCCCCAGGAGGGAATCAGAAAGGCAGGCGAAGGAGACCAGTTATGGATACGGTGCCGAGCAGCAGCCCGACACTTGTGGGGTGACCCCTCCGGACCTCTCCGCGAGCCCCGCTCGGCCCAAGCACCTCCCGCCTGTYCACCTGGGGGTGGGAAGGTTAGAGGCGGTCAGGGAAATCGCTGCTGGACGATGAATCACCGGCACATGACCCTGCAGGACCAGGAAGGGTGAGGAACCTGCGCGGGATGCTGCGGGGGCTGGAGAGGGCAGGCCTCGCGCTCGGCGGCCCTCCAGCCTGGACTTGGGGAGCAAAGAGAAGCCCCCCCTCCAGCAGCTCCCCCTCCCGGCCGCGCCCCGCWGCCCCAGGCTTCGCGGGACTCACCGCCTTCAGCTGCTCCAGCCGGTCCTTCATCCTGGAGCCCAGGTGCCCGGAGGCAGGTAACGCGTCCCAGGTGAGCGCGTCCCAGGGGAACCGCCGGAAGTGGCGGCCGGTCCCGGCCGGGGCGAGGGAGCTCCAGGCGGAGGCGGGCGGCGGCCCTCGCTAGGAGGAGCGTCCCAGGCCACCGAGGCTCCGCCGCGCCGCCTCCTCCGGCCCCCGCCGCCGCCGAGCGCTCCAAATCCGGCTCCCGGGCCGGCGCCGGCGCGCAGCGCTCCTCCGCCCGCAGGCCCGCCCCTTACCTGGCCGCGCCCGCGCTCCGCGTTAAAGGGCCCGCGCCCCTCCCGCCCGCCCGGCCGCTGCCMGGCCCCCCTGGCGCCTCTCACTCCACCTCTAACCCCTGGTCCCTCAAAGGAGTAGAGGCTCTGGCGCTGGTGGACCCTGCCGCTAGGAGAACCGTGGGGGTGGCCTGGATGGCGTCTTTTCTACTCGACAGCCATTCATGAACTAGACTGGGATCCAGCCCCCAGCTGACTCATGGCTAGGGTGGGACCATCTCCTGAAAACCAGCCACTGAGACAAGGTGATTTGTGCCGCCGTGGGTGGGAGGAAAATGTTCTGATGACACTCAAGAGATATTCCCCCTGGAGGAAGGGCATTCCAAGTACCAGAAGCAGCGCGGCCCGGGCTGGAAGGGGTGTCCCGGGGTGTCCCAGAGGAATAACTAGAGATGAGGAGGGAAGGGTGAGGCTGCGGCCAGGAGTTTGGGTTTTACACTGTTGGCCATTGGGGCCTCTCGGAGTAAAGGAAGCTGTTAGTAGTTGAGGTCTGACACCGGCCGTGAATAATTTGTATACCTTTGGGAAAGCTCTGTTTCTCAATAGGACCCGTTTCCGTATCTGTAAGTCGGAGATAATATCTATTTGGCCGTTTAATATCTACTTGGTCTACTTGTGAATATCTACAGGTCTACTCATTTCCTACCAAGTGTAGAGGTTCCCGGGTGTTTTATGAAAAGATGGACCTGTTCTAATTGCCCCTCCCTCCTTATCCCTTCTCTTCCTTCTCCCTCTCTTCCCTTCGCTATTTTTTTTGGGGGGGGTGGGGGGTGGGGAACGGAAGACCAATGACAAAATTGAGCAGAAGAGAACTCAGTAAATGGGACTAAGGAACCAAAGATGTCATTCTCAACTTAGGGAAAGAAGTTGCTCTATGCATTCAGTTTAAAAGGCTATAAATAGTTTTGTAGTTCTAACAGGACTTTGCCCTCTTCTGCGACATGCATGCTCCACGCTGACTTCATCGACTGCCATAAAGATAGTCTGTATGACAGGGGTTGGGCTGTTTGAACTAGCCCTGCGGTTCAAAGCCCTAATCCTCTCCATGACGTCCAGCAAATATTCTTCTGCCTCCAGCGCTCTTTAGGTGGAGTCTTGTTTACCACGAAGACTTCCATGCCCCCTGGTGGTCATAAAAGGAAAAGGTGAGTATATCACAAATAATACAACACCTCCTTCCTTTGATTTTTGTTAGTGGGGATAGCAAGGTTCCTGCACTTCTGGAAAATTGGGTCTCCTAGAGGAGACAGAGAGATGAACAACTCTACATTGGAAGTTTGAAAAGGACCATCGTAGTCAAGAGTAAGGATTCCATCCCATAGCAGGAACCAAGAAGTGGCCATTCATCCTCCACCGTAACACGTTCAAGGGTTCTTGTTAAAACATAATTGCTTTCAAAAGAGTGAAATCATGGCTCTTGTACAAATATAAAATGAACACGCAAATATTTTATTTAGTTCATTAATTAATGAAGGAACCAGTAAGGACTTAAACTTGTGCAGAGGAGAACTCAAAAAACAGATACACAGGCAGTAGGGAAGCTGAAATGAATATAATAATAAAGGCATAACTGTCTCTGTGGTGGGGGATCAGTTGTACTTCTGCCTGATAAAATTTATTTGCATCTCTATGGACAAGAATCATTTGCATTACTATCCATTTTTTAACTTACAGAATTGGAAAATAGCTACATAACCATTCAAGGCACGTACCATTATAAAAATCAAATAACCCAGAAAAGTGCATTAGATAAGTCCATCACAGGATACATGCCATAGGACACTCAATAGACTTTGGGGGGGGAGGGCATTTTAATTTTTCCAGTTCTTGCAGACACTCCCAAGGTAACACCTTCCATGGTTGAACAACACTAACTATATGTAAAAATTCTTTGTTATACTGAACAAAAATTTCTCTCCCTATAACTTCCATTATTTCTTGCTCCTGGCCTTTGTGCAAACACTTAAGAAATTCAATCACGTGATGGTCTTTCCATGAAGGGAGAGTTGCTATAGGAAAGGAGCACAATTCCCAGGCACATGACCAGGAGGCCTGAGTTACCACGAAATAGCCATCACTTGACATCACACAGCTTATTTTCTCCTCTGTCAAATTAGGGTACTGACCAAAACTAATAATTCCCAACTGTTCAAAGTCAARACTGTCATATAATCATTATTTTTATTTACAAATCTCTCATTTTAAAAAATGACATATCCCTAGAAAATATATATACTATTTAACAAGACTCTATAATAAGAAGCTTGGCTTCTTATAAAAGAATGTTTCCATGATGGGGGGTAAAAACAATTCTTTTGTTCACTCTATGTGGCTRTAGCAAAAATGTCTATATTTCTCTGAAAGTTTTTAAACATTGAAAATACCATAAAGAGCCCTCTTAACTGCAATTAAAATCCAGAAACCCAGAGAGAGAAGCCCATCGGCACATGTTGTTTTATTATGGCATTCTATTGGAAGGTAGTTATCAAAAACTTGGACCCTTCCCTACAACTCCTGCTAGGCATGAATTCTAAGTTGTTAATTTTATATTAATACTTATTCTTTCAGGCAGAAGTGTGGATTCCATTCCACTGTCTGTGCAAGAAACTGAAAAAAGTAATTCTGGACAAAGTGGCTCAGGCTTGTAGTCCCAGCTATTTGGGAGAATGAGACTGGAGGTCTCCCAAGTCTCTCTCAAGTTTGAGGCCAGCCTGAGCAACTTGGCAAGACCCTGTCTCAAGTTTTTACAAAATGGAGAGGGCCCGGGGTTGGGATATAGCTCAGTGGTAGATCACTTAGCTAGCATGTGCAAGGCCCTGAGTTCAATCCCCAGTACCAAAAAAAAAAAAAAAAAAAAAGTCAAGTAACTGTGGGACAAGGGATGGGGGAAGGGGTCCACGGACTGGTCAGGAAGACTGATAGTGCACCCAGCTGGTCCACAGGATCTTGGAGTAGGGAGTGCTTAGTAGGAGCTCCCTCTCTTGGATGTATTTGTATTTTTCTGCCCTATGATGGTACTTGGTCTCCCACCTACTGGGTCTTAGTGCAGCTGTTTCCCCACTGGGAAAAAAAAAATAGTCAAGATTAATTCAAGTGTTTGCATTTTGATTCATAAACCATCAATATTTAATTTCACATTTACAAACAAACCCAAGAGAGCCTCTTGAGTTTGGGGACTCCACTTTCCTCCTTTTCTTCCTGCTGAGCCAATGTCTTTCCCACTGAAGAAAAGGACTAAACCTAACCCTACCTGTACAGCCACAGCTGCTGTGAGACAGGTGAGACCATTTCTGTCTGGGGTGTCCTGAGGCAGTGTCTGCAGGGTTTGGTGTTGAGTAGAAAGAGATAAAGGGAGCTGGAGAATTGAAGAGGAAGATCCTTTCTCTTCCCCACTGTAGAGAGGAAGAATAAACCTCCTGATTGACAGTCTCCTCCTCCTTACAGTTGGTATTAGTTGTCGGTTGCTACCTAAGAATTTGCTCTAAAACCTAGCTGTTTAAAACAACAAACATTTATTATCTCATAGTTTCTGCAATTGAGAAATCCAGGTCCAGCTTGGCAGGATGGCTCAGCCTCAAGGTCAAGGACCTGTTTCCAAGGTTATTCATATGGTGGTTGGCAGAATTCAGTTCCTTAAGTGCTGTTGGACAGAAGACCTCAACTCCTTGCTGGTGATTGGTTGGAGGAGTCCCTCAGTTCCTTGCTACATGGTCCTCTCCATACAGCAGCTCACAGCATGGCAGCTAGCTTCTTTCTACCAGAGTAGGAAAGTAAGAGGGATAAAGAGAAAGAAAGAGAAGCCCCAGAGTTGTTGAGACCTATTCTCAGGTGTGACATTCCATTACTTTTGCTGCATTCTATTATTAGAACTGACTCACTAGCTTCAGCACACACTCAAGGCAAGGGGATCATACAAGGGCATGAAGGCCAGGAGCCAATTCAGTGGCTGCCTGACATAGTTCAAATCCCAAATGAATGCCAGAGTTTTGCAACTTCACTTCTTAGAGCTCTCTTCTCCCCCATACCAACCTGGACAACTCCAACCCAGTCCCCAGACCTCAGAGTAGAATGTTCTAAGGAAAAACACCTTACTTCCCAGGAGGGAGTTAGGTGTCCCTTGAATGTGCTTCTCTGGCACCCTAGATTCCTCCATTGCACCCTTCCATATTGGATAATAACCTGGCCACTTGTCTCTACAGGAGAGCAACCTTGTCTTTCTTGTTCACTGATGTGGAATCTGACCTGAACAGAGGACCAAGACGTACTAGACACTCAGTAAATGTTTACTAAACTTATTAAATGAACCTTCTTAAAATATGGTTCTCACCTTTCCATTGTGTTCTCATTACCAAGAGAGAGTCCATACTCTTCTTGGAATCGCATTCAAGGTCTTGCCCAATCTGGCCAAGGCCTTTCATAAGGTCACTCCAGACACACAGCTCCACCGTCAGCCTCAGCAAACCATCACCTCTTCTCTTAACCTAAGTCATCCTTCCATGAGATCCCACTTCTCTCTGCCTCTTATGTCCTTCTTCCACGTCAACTCTGACAAATTCCTACTCCTCCAAGACAGAGGCTCTCTGCATTTCACCCAGGTGGTTTCCATACTTGTCTCTGTACACAACCTCCCAACTTGTTCAAGTCTCTTTAAAAAAAAAAAAATCTTATGTTGTCTTGAACCTAGTTTTTCACATAACCATTTCTCTAGATTGACCATGAACTGCCTGTGAGTAACAACTGGATATTTTTCCTCCATAGCTCTCATGGAGAGGTCTGGGGATCCTTCCCCTCTCCCTAAGGAGGAAAGAAAACCCTTCCTGGATTTTGGCTTTTAAAACCAAATGCAATTGCAACTCCACACAACTTAAAGGATGAATTTGGTGTTGCTGAATTGAATTCTAGATTTAAAATAATATGCTTTATTGACAAAGGTGTTTTATATCACGTTGTTCAGATGTTTCTCTTACATTAAACATCATATACTATAGGTCTGTGTCTATGAATTTCAATGTAAATTATTTGTGCCACAATTTGCTTTGTGTTTTTACATAAACTCCTCAGGCTCTGCATCCATAAAGCACAAAGTACTACACCAAAGAGGTTAGTAGGGAAAATGTGAAGATTTGGTAAGGAAGATTCTGAACAAAAAGCCTATAGTTATTTCTGACCTGCTGAAGATAAGATTGTTTCTTACAGCACTTTGAATAGCTGTCAAAACTAGTAAGATAATCATAATGAAACACAGGAAAGAGGTACTGGGATAATTTTACTAATTAAAAGGGTAAGTCCCATAGTGTGAGTACTTCTCAATTTGGAAATTTGAGTAGCTATGCTGAATCTTTTACTTTACTTTTAGTTCTCTTGATATCTCCCAATAACTTAGGGGTGAGGTAGAATGGATATTGTCCCCATTTTATTGTGAATTAAATTAAGTACGGAGAAATAAGATGGTTTTTCCAAGCTCACATAAGGTACTTATAGCAGGCCATGAGAGCTCGTGATTGCATGCCCAGGCTGTGGGACCAAACTGCCCAGGTCCAATCTCAGTTCTATTATTACTTGCTCTGTGATCTTGGATTTATTTAACTTTCCTAGGCCTAAGGTTCCTCATCTGTAAGCAAAGATAAATAGTCATACACATCTCATGGGGTTTTTTGAAGACAAATGTGAGAACAGATGGAAATCATCACTTCCCTTATTCAATCCCTGGAATAGACCATACTAACTAACCCATTATAACTGCACTACTTTCTCAAAGAACATGAGGAATTGAGAAATGCCTGTAATACTTCAATCAAGTATGAAATAACCTTCTTAGTATTGAAAAGTCAACAGCAGCTACTAAAGCACTTTTCATAAGAGGTTTCAACAGGGTAATACACTTAAAAAGGCACTCAAAGAAAGTGAAAAATAAGGTGAAATGCATCCTTCATCTTTTTTTTTTTTTTTTTTTTTTTTTTTTTTTGGTACCAGAGATTGAACTCCCGGGCACTAGACCACTGAGTAACATCCCAGCCCTATTCTGTATTTTATTTAGAGACAGGGTATCACTGGTGCCTCACTTTTGCTGGGGCTGGCTTTGAACTCATGATCCTCCTGCCTCAGCTACCTGAGCTACTGGGATGACAGGCACGTGCCACTGAGCCCACCTCGCATTCTTCATCTTTGAGAGTCATGACTCAGGTTTCCATGCTGCAGTCTCTGAGAAAACCTGCGGCAAACCCCTAATAGTAGTTTGATCAGCACAGTGTCCTTCACACTAGTTGAACACATAACATTYATTCCACCTAAAAACCTAATAACCAAAGAACTAGTGTCCTAGCAGAGTGTATTATAGAAGACCATAAAAGAAGCAGCAAATGACTACAAATGAAACAAAAGGATTTCCTTTAGGATTCTTGTCTATCAAAAAAAGAAAGCAAAATTTCAGTTCCATGTAAAATGAATTCTGGTCATTGTTTTTATTGATCAAGCTTCTGAGCCTTTTACAAAAAATAAAATGTTTCAGCACATTTTTATACTTTTCCAGATAAGGAAACAGAGACCCAGGGAGATGATTTCCCATCCTTGTGCCCTGCCAGWTCCCTCTTTCAGAAATGCATTTTCAGAGATCTGGAAACTTGTCATGATGCAGTTCAAACACCACCTCCCACCATTATTGCCATTTCTCCCTCCTGTCCCTCTTCTGAAGTCTCAAAGTACTATATTACTTGACCCTTGGTGTAACTGTCCCTTGAGTTCCTCAATCACATTAGACATTGCTTTGAGACAGAAGCTGCTTCTTACTTACCTTTCCATTTCCTGCTCTACTTGCTACAAGTGGATGCATAGTACCTTGTAGAGAGCAATAAACAGTCTGTTACTGCCTTTTTTWTATTGGTTGTTCAAAACATTACAAAGCTCTTGACATATCATATTCCATACATTAGATTCAAGTGGGTTATGAACTCCCATTTCTGTTACTGCCTTGTTGAATGAAAACAATCAACAAATCATCAAAGAGTAGGGAAATGAATGGATGCCCCATAACTATGGAAAAGATGTTCTGATACATCTGTGTTCTGACACTGTTGTCTTGAGACAAGTGGTCATCCGGTAAATGACTACCACCCCATAAAGAGACACACCAAAGAGCTCCTTTCCCTCCTCAATGTGTCCACTCTGTTTCTCTTCAAAAATTATCTTTGCTCTCTGTGAATCTATTTGAATCAATAGTTCCCTTCTTCTACCCCCAGAGAGGTTCCGTTAATAAAACAAATCTACCCTATTGTGCATACATAGCTAGGGAGAAACAAACAGAAAGGAGAATATGGAATATGAGAGAAAGAGACTAGAGACGGTACTGAACAGCTCAGAGGACGGCATCCAAAGGCCAACTAACATAGAGTTAGAGACGGGGATGAGCCGCTTGGCTCCAGGATTAAAAGAAGCAAAGTGAAACCGCTAGCACTGAAATTCCAGAGCTTTCCCCAGCATCRTTCCCTGGAAAATAAAGTGGGTGAAAAAATAATATTTTTTAACAGTTCAGAGTTTAGGCCACATCAAGAGAAAGAAGCTACGATGTTCCCAGTGTGATTTGCATCTTATTGCTGGTTGTACATCCCTCCCTGGATGTACAGCGTTTGAGATTGTTGACAACCTAATAACTGGATATGAAGACAAGTCCAAGGTAGGACTAGACATGGGATGCTAATAACCACATTCACAGCAATCTCTCCCTTTAAAAGTCATGAAGTATTTTCACTTAATGTATCTGGGGATCCTCCTAACATAGCTACATACTGGGGGGTTATTAGTCCTCATTCTGGAGATGAAGAAACTGAGGACGACAAAAAAAAGATGATATTTCAAAGTACTGCAATCAGGAAGCCTAACAGTATGAAACCACTGCCCTGCCAGCCCCCGTCTCCTCCTCTTGCAGTCGACTTGTGGTCTTCCCTGGGGGGTGTTGTGGAGGAACAGTCAGAGTGCTCACTGTGCTAGAGCACAAGGAACCTCATCATTGCTCTCTTCAAAGCCTCCTTAAGCTCCCTGTTCCTCATGCTATAGATCAAGGGGTTCAGCACAGGGGTGACAAATGTGTAAACCACAGACACCACCTGGCCCCTGTCTGGAGAGTACCTGGAGCTGGGGCACAGGTAGATGACACTTGTGCACCCATACTGCAGGAGCACCACAGTCAGGTGGGAGGWGCAGGTGGAGAAGGCCTTGTGCCTCCCCTCTGCAGAGCGCATCTTCAGGATGGCAGCCACAATGAAGACGTAGGACAGGGTGATGAGCAGGGAGGGGATGGTGAGCACAATGACACTGACCACAAACAGGGTGACCTCATGGACGTGGGTGTCGGCACAGGCCAGCCTCATGACAGGGAGGACGTCGCAGTAGAACAGGCTGATCTCCTTGCTGCTGCAGAAGGGCAGCCGGAAGATGAGCACAGTCAGCTGCAGGGCCAAGGCGAACCCCAGCACGAGGGACCCCACGGCCAGCTGCACACACACGCGCCAGCTCATGATGAGGGTGTAGCGCAGAGGGTGACAGATGGCCACAAAGCGGTCGTAGGCCATGACAGCCAGCAGAATGCAGTCCGCGCTGCCCAGGAAGATGAAGAAGAACATCTGGGTGCCGCAGCCTGGCAGGGAGATGAGGGTGCTCTCTGTGGACAGGACGCTGGCCAGGGTSAGAGGGGCGATGGTGGAGGAGTAGAAGACCTCCAGAGCTGCCAGGTTTGCCAGGAAGAAGTACATGGGGGTGTGCAGACAGCGGTTCATCCAGATGGTGAGGGAAATGGAGAGGTTGCCACTGACGCTGACCAGGTACATCCCGAGAAAGGTCACGAAAATCAGCACCTGCACCTCGGGGAGTCGGGAGAAGGGGCGGAAGTGGAAGTGGATCATCCCAGTTTGGTTTGCTTCCTCCATGTGTCCACTGCATCGGGCCTGCTGATAGCCCAGGCGCTGCCCCTGAGGACAGATCAATGTCAACCAGATGCTTCTACTTCAAGGTCTTCATCTATAAAGACAGGACAGTGTCATTCTCAAGAGCCTCYGGAGACTAAATGTGGGGCTCCCTAGCAAGCTCTCATGCATGCTAGTGATCCTGAAAACCACCCTCCTTTCACCTCTTCCAGATCACCTTGATGCTTCCAGCTTCCCCAGGGAAGTCTCCTTTGGGCTCTATCCTCTCTCATCTAACAAAGATGTCTGATGCTTCTTTTCCACTAGTCTTCCACCAATGCTCGCCATTTTCACGTCCTTCTGTGAGCCCTAACACCTGCTGTAATGTCCCGTCTCTAATCCTAGCTGATCACGACTGAAAAAGACCACAGAACTCTGTCCCCTGGTGCCACAGCAGAGATTGGCATTATCAACCCCAGCACCCTCCCCCAGCCCCCGAGTCAGCCCCTCTTTCCAGTCCTCACCAAGGCTAGTCCCTCACCTCGTCACCCTTCTCTTCTACCCCCTCCTTCCCTCATGCTCCGGCTCCAACTTCACACACACACACAAAGAAGGAACAGAAGCCCACGAGGCAGCTCTCCCTCATGCTCACCAGCTCTGGGCCTGCAGCGGTCCCTGCTGACCCGGCTGCCCATCACACACTCCCACCTGCCTCAGTGGGAGCGTCCCTTCTCCTTGGCCTAAATACTGGCCTCAGCCTCCTGCTGGGTCCTCTGGGGTCTTGCTCCACAGATCCACTGCTCAAGCTCCAACACCTACCTCTGCCCCCCACTCGAGAGCGCCCTCAGCTCCCCCAGTATAAAGAAACTGCCTTCAGGGTTATGTCACCCTCCYGGCTCCTCCCAGAATGGACATCTGCTGTCCTTCCTTCATCCTGGGCCGTGTGCTTCCACCTCACCCCTCCAGCTCCCTAGACCACTTTAATGAAGACCACTGAGGACTTCCACGTTCCTGAATCCAATAATCTGTTGCATATACACCTATATACCCTTTTCCTGAAAATTCCTCAGTCCTTGGCTCTGTGCTGCTACTCTACCCTCTAGACACTCTATTCCCCAAATTTGGAGAGGTTGCTGTTCCTGTTGGTGATTCACCAAAGAAAGGTTTTGCTGGTTATGTATCACTCGCCCCCGATCCATTCTCTGCCCAGCTCTGCCCCTTGAAAGGCTGGTCCCCATGCATTACGTCACCAGGGCTCCTTCACTCTCTGGCTTCTGGTAGGAGAGGTACAGGCAGAAGAATGAAGAACAGTATGAAGACAGGCAGGGTATTTATCCCATGCATTCCATGCCACCTCCTCCTCCCTCTTCCCTATTGGTTCTATGACTGCAGTTCTGGGTGGGTGGCCTGACCCCCATAGGACCAGGTACAGCTGGGCTCAGTAACACTGTTCCCTCACGATGTCACTTCCACCATGGCTAGCCCTGAGTGCCTCATCACCCCTTGTATATTCCAGGAATTCTGCCCTCACCCCTGTAAATGGTCCCAAACTGATGCCTGTCCACAATCTGTTACATACAGTTGATTTTCACAAAGTTATTTAATGCTTAAAGGGAAAAAAATATTGTGTTTTAATTCATTCTAGAGTCTCTTGTGTATAGTGGTTTACACCTATATCCCAGAAGCTGAGGCCAGAGGATCACAAGTTCAAGACCAGCCTGGGCAACAAAGAGAGACTCTGTCTCAAACTAAAAAATAAAAAGAGCACCAGGAAGGGTCATGCATGCCTGTCATCCCAACACCCCAGGAGGCTGATGCAGGAGGATCAAAGCCAGCCTCAGCAAAAGCAAGGCCTTGCTAAGCAATTCAGTGAGACCTTATCTCTAAATAAAATGCAAAATGGGGTGGGGATGTGGCTCAATGGCCAAGTGCCCCTGGGTTCAATGCCTGGTACCCCCCAAAATAAAATAAGATAAAATAAAAAGGGCTGTGCATGTAGCTCAGTGATAGTGTCCCTGTGTTCATTCCCCAATTCCAAAAAGATAAAATATCTTCTTTTATTTTTTTTTCTTTGCACCACTTATGATCAGTAGAAATGCATTTCTAAGCAAGTTTTTATGGGATCTAAAACAATTAGACTCTCTCTCTCTCTCTCTCTCTCTCTCTCTCTCTCTCTCTCTCACACACACACACACACACACACACACACACACACTCACACACAAAAACAAACATACGGACAAGCACACACCATATCCCCTGGAGAAAACTAATCTGATGCTTATCCTTGTTCTAAAGAGTAAACACTTGTTTTAAACAGTTCAGAGTGTTATTTTAAAATAGCATAGACTGAGTGGCTTAGACAAGATTTTCATTGCTCATAGTTCTGGAGGCTGGTAACTCCAAGTTCAGGGTGCTACAAAACTGGCTCTTAGTGAGGGCCCTCATCCTGGACAGCAGATGCTGCCTTCTCCTGTATGCTCTTATGGCAGGGAGAGGAAGCTGTAGGGTCTCTTCCCCTTTTATGAGGACACTAAACCCTTCAAGGGACATGCATGCTGAATCACCTGAAACTGATTACTCCCCACATGCCCCACTTCCTAAGACCATCACAACGGGAGCTACAGTTTCAACATGTGAGTTTGAGCAGGAGAGACCGCAACATACCTCACATGACATGAAAGGTGGAAAAAGGTTACTTGGCACTTAGCACCCTGCGGTGACCAGATCATCCCCAAAAGACTGAATTTTGCTCTGCTCCTGTCTGAGGATATGCCGTGACCTTTGTACACATAATGATCCCTTAACCTCTTTGTTGCTTCTTCTCACACAGAATAAGTCATGCTTAGTATTCCTGCGGATGGCAGCTTTTCCTCTAAATACTAGCTCTCAATGCCCAGTTTGCAAGTAAAATGTTTATTTTTCTTTTTTTCCTAAGTGCTTCTAACTCTGTGCTCTCGTCTGATGATGCAGTRTTTTGGCACAGCCTTACCTGGGCAAGTGGGATAGAATATCGGCTCCTTCATAGCTGGTCAATTTCCATATGGAAGTTTGTAAGAGTCTGTTGTTCCTGAAGAGGTGAAATTGAATTCCTGGGAGCAATGGCAGGAGCACATCCCCCCTCCCCCTCCTCTCTCTTCCTCTCCCTCTCTATCTCTCTATCTCTATCTCTATCTCTATCTCTATCTCTATCTCTATCTCTATCTCTATCTCTTACTGTCTCTGTCTCCAGGGTAAGTAAAGAGGCCTAGCAGACCCTTTACCCCAAAGATTTGACTTCCATGAGTCCAACATGAAGGGGGAAGTCGGGGACTAGAAAGAGAACCGTTATCTCTGACACAGTGCCGTGTTCACCTCTGGGCTCACTTCTTTGTAATTGTCCCCTCCATGGTCTCCAAGCTCCATGGGGTAGCCACCGACTCCACTTCACCCTCACTAATACCCAGGACCCACATCAGTGCCCGGCACTTGATAATTATGCTCTGACGCAAACCCTGAGGTTTTATTGAGATTAGTAGTACCGGTGACTCACATCAGTACGTTCAAAACAGAAAAGGTCATCTTTATTTTCTACCTCTGATACTATTTCTGAGGAGAGAATCGGCAACTTCCAAGAAGAGTTTTTAAATGTTTCATGATTAAACCAACGCTCCACATTAAAAGTTCTCCCAACAAAACAGACCCGAACATGGACCCAAATGCATTAAGATGCTTCCAGGATGGTTTAACGGTTTTTCTATAAAGGAAACTAATACCGTGAGTTAAAGTTCAAGGCAATGGTGGGGTATGCATATGATCAGCTCTTACATTCCCATTAAAATTGTGCCACTTAAGAGGCTTAATGAAGTAAGTGCTGATAGCGTAATGCTGACGGAGGAAACAAAGTGGCACATAGGGTGTCAGCAATGAGGTCATCGCTCCAAAAAGAAACCAACCCTCCACGCTCAGCAGCCTTTTAGAGAGAATTAGGAGATGGATGTTTTCTTTATACTTTTCTCTATTGTTCAAATTTTCTGTAAAGAACACTTGTTTATTTTTTTTAAGTCATAAAATTGTTATTGACATTGTAAACTCCCATTTGAGAGGGTACAGAGCAAGGGACACAAACGTCCCGGTAATTGCAGAACCATTAATTGTCAGAACCAGAATTAACATGGGGATATGGCCACACAACCTGGATGATGATGAGAAAATGATGCCATCCAAGCTGCTGCTTATAATGTCCCTCCCTCCCCCCTCCCTTCCTTCTTTCCCTCTCTCTTTTTTCTYTAGCCTTACCTCTTCTTTAAATGAACTTTTTTGAGGTTTGATTCACCACTCCAGCCTTTTGAGATCTTGTGAAGAATTCTAATTCCTCACTCCAAAAATATCAGTGTCTCTCCATGGTCATCTGCAAATACAATGAACCTGTGTCTCAAAGCTCACTGTGCACATTGGACCATTGCCCCAGGAAGCCACATTCCTTACACGTACTTCTCTAGAGAGTCAACCAGATTTTCTTTAGAACATCGACAAGTCTTCAAGTATGTTTAAAAAAAAAATTCTGTGTAGAATATGTCTGAAATGCTTGAAAACCTCAGTGAATTCCATTTGTTTAAACCAGTGCATTGTTTACAGAAGGGATGTGATCCTGAGTTCTTAACAMACTTCCTCCAACTTCATCCCCCACACACATATATGTTCCTGTCTCTGAATGGAGACATGGATATCATCCTTCTTRACCATGAACGCTACATGTTTCCCTTTATGCCTTAGCTGCTAGGAAGCCCAACACTAAGCTTGATACTTAATTAATGAATAATCCTCATCCTCAATTTAAAAATTAAATAGATGTCACCATTTGTATTTAATTTGTCCCTTTTATTCTATGTAGTTGATTTGGCTCTGAGGGTTTTATTATAAGATATTGTACTTCTTCTTGCCTTTTTGGTCTTCATCCAAGGCATTGAAGAGTGAGTGAGAACTCTCCCCACTCTCCAGTCTCAAGCGTGCTCCTCCTCTGAGTTCTTCTCAGTGGGATAAAG